TATTACCTTTTCTTCTCCGGACTCAGGCTAGGGCTGTCCATCGCCGACATTAAGAAAACAGAAAACACAAGGATAACCTAATAAAGACGTATTTACGCGGTTAAAACAGAAGAAATTACGTTTAGAAACACCTTTTGTCCTGATAATCGTTTGTGCTTTTTAGCGGGAAAATCCCATCTTACGTTGCTGTGACGTTGACTGCGAGATACTGGGTACCCTATATGCTACGATTTGCCACTATTCGCAACTATTCGAGACTGTTCGCCACCATTCGCACTATTCGTACTATTCGCTATTCGGGTTTTCCAGACACCCGTGATTTTCTGCAGTCAACAAATAGCTTGTCACTATAGCTGATGCCTTATCACTGAATTTCCATGTGTTCTTTTAGTTGCGGATTTTTCTCCATTCATGATTCTTCACAGGATAAATCACCCAAAACACTAGTCAAATTCATCAAGCCTAAGTCTTCATGGTTTGAAGAGTGAAAGTTAATCAACATAAGGAAATTGTTATCGCATTAGAATTGCTAAAAATTTATTATAGTGCATCTTATTTATCGTGTATGCACATCAGTATTGTGTTATTTATTCTGTACTCATTGTGCTGTCTTCTACTCAGCAAAAACCAACAATTGCAAAATTTGCTAATTTGTTTACCAGATGATTACGCTTGGTGGAGATGCTGAATTAGAGTTGGTGGATAGCCTTGATCCTTTCTCTGAGGGAATTGTTTTCAGGTAAAATATGAGCTCTGTGTCATGCGTTTTAGGCATGTGTTATTTCAGCCTAAAACCTTCATATATACAATCTCCTTTTGCACTTACATCATCATCGTCGTCATTATCGTCGTCGTCGTCGTCGTCGTCGTCGTCGTCGTCATACGAAATGTATGTGCTCACCATCCCATCTAAACGGAAATTTCAAAAACAACTCAACGAGTTATTTCGTGGTGGTTATTTAACTTTTTGCTCAATTCTGTACAGTAAATGTCTCAGTCTAAGAAACAAAAAGTGTCCCCATGTAGTGGTTTTATTACTACTATTTTATTCTGACACTGGAAATGAGGGTATATCTTACGTAACAGCACAGTCATTGAATGTCTTACTGATGTTTGGGTGACAGTCAGGGTCCGAAATTGCGCTTTCCTGGTCGCCAATGCGACTAAAAATTTTGCACTGGCGACCAGAATTTCACAGCTGGTCGCCAGCGGGCGATTAA